CATCCAAAATAGGTGGTATGTTGACTTATCCTCCATCTTTAATTGTCTCCATTTGAGCATAATTCATCTTTCTTGAAGTTCACCCAACATGCTAAGGTGCCTGCTCAGAGGCCAATTGAAATTCTATTCCTCAAGGGACAAATGTCGAACTCGATGCTTCAAAAACTAGTTCGACAAGACACATCGGAACTACTACAATAATAAGTACTAGATGATAGAGAAGAAAAATAATAAAGAAAACAATAAATTGTTTATCTATTTTGTTGAAACGCAACCTACATCTAGGAGGAAGAGTCCACAACCTAAGAAAGGAAAGTCACTATCAGTAGCTTAGTACAATTATACTTATAAACAAAAACAAACCCTATGTTGTTCAATGCCTCTTTCTAGCACTATCCATGACTTTCTATTTAGAGTCTCTCCCTAAAGGTGAGAACCTACTCACTTTCTTCTCTATCACACAACCTATGATAGGAGATAAAAATCACCAAACCATATTGATCAACATCAATCTAACAAGATGGATGATGTTGGATATTATAACTCAATTAGACAAAACGTTTATGCCAAGTTAATGAAACATAGAGGTGTGCATAACAATATTGAATTTACAACTCAACTAGACAAACCTTTAATGCCAAGTTATTTAAATATAAAGATGTACATAAAATTAACAAGGACTCTTGTTAAACCTAGCACTCTAAAATCTTCAATGTGAATGATTTTTTTTCCAATGTAGGGTTGAGCTTCTTATATAGCAAAATAACTCCGAGCTTTTTCCTTGTGGATCTGTTGTTAGTTTTGTCCATAATCTTTGCACAATTTGTTGGATATTTGATCTGCTTCTTGAATATCTCCAAAAAAAGATGTGATTTGGTCTGTTACATATTCAAATTTAGATATAATTTAAATCTGATATGATCTTCACAGATGTCCAACAAATCATATAATCGTATTGCTAAACCAATAGAAATAAAACATAACTAAATATTCTCAAAATATTATGTTAAAACTTGACAATCTAGCGCCTGTTTCACATGACTCAAATGTCGTACCAACATGCTGGAGCATTGTGCCCAACATGTGTCCCTTTTGTAGTTCCATACAACTTTAGCGAGCTAGATTAATCTTGAACACTTGTACATTTCCCCAAGGCATTGTTTTGCTAAATGCAGAAAGTCCAAAGGGAAAATCTAATTGGAATAACAATGGGTCTAATACATCTTGGAAGTTCATATGGATAATCAGTATACAAGAAAGAATGAAGAATTTTATTTGAATGGTTGAACATGGCCTCCTGCTTACTAATGATTATTTAAATAGGTTGGTTACGTGTGATGCCTGGTATATGGGTTGCCCTAGGACTATTGAAGATATTCTACATGTTTTAAGCGATTGTGAGATTGATAGAATAGTTTGGTGCTCTCTTATTAAAGAACTAAAGTATTCTGGATTTTCATTGCTTACCTGAATGAGTGGACTAAAATGAACCTACCAAATGATTATGGTATGATGGCTATATGAGATGGGAGAAGTGTGGGAAAGTATTTGCCACACTTTATGGTTTTGGAGAAATAAATGGAATCATGAGGAAGACTATGTTATCCCATCCAATTTAACTGAGCATATCATGGGGAAAGTCTAATTGTATATTGCTAGTGTTAGCCTCCAAAGAATGTAAAATGGATTTCTCCAAATGAATGAGGAATCAAGATTAATGTTAATGGTTTTGTGAATAAGAGTAGGAGAGCGGGTTGTGGGGGATTGTTTCGGGATCACACAAGGAGATGTTGTGGGGGATTGTTTCGAGATCACACAAGGAGATATTGTGGAGGCTTTTCCAAGATCATTGGGAATTGCAGTTTATAGCTTGTAGAGTTTTGGAAGGTGTTTGAGGGTCTTAAGTTGTCGTTGATAAAGGGAGTAACAAGGTAGAAATGCAATAATATTACATGAATGTTGTTGAAGGCCTTAATGGTATAGGAGAATCAACTTTTGTTTAGAAAGGGGACTGGTGAAGAAAATCAAGCATTTGATAAAATGGGGGATATGGAAGTCTGATTCATTCATGTTTATAGGAAAGCAAATAGATGCACTGATGTGTTGGCAACACTACTATAGAAAACACCTACCACAATGGTTTGAAAAGGAATACCACCACACTGGACCAACCATTGTGAGGTAAGGTGTGATTATATGTATGATGTTTTTCACAATGGTCGCACAACCGTGATTATCAGCTATTTAGCGCTCTACCGACCACAACGATTACTTTAAATAACCGTTGTGATATTCTTTAATGTGTAACATTTAACAACGGTTGGTATAAACAACCATTGTGATACACACACACATACACTGTGTTTATTATAAATTATATGAAATGCTTATTTCGCCAATGCTCACTAAATATATAACATTTTAATCTGATGTAGAACATTATAATATTACAAATTAATTTATATTAGAAGAAAAAGTTCACGTTCAATACTAGACAAGATTTCTTTAACTCCTTATCCGCATTTTTCTCTTTAGTAGTTAGAACTTTATTTAATGATCTTAATTCTTCAACCGCCCATTCCTTCACCTCTAGTTAATTTTGCAAAATATTATTTACTTTTCAAACAAAATTAGAGGTGGAAAGATAAGAGGTTAAAGAACTACAATCATTAAGTAAAGTTATAACAATTAAAGAACAAGATATAGATAACAAAGTGAAGAATTCTTGTCTAGAATTAAATGCGTATTTATTTTCTAATCTAACTTTATCTATCATATTATAATTTTCTAATGCAATATGAAAAGTTATATATTCACTAAGGGATTAGACAAACACTCAAACCACATAAACTATAATAAACTCATCTTTTAAACAAACATTAACAACAACAATCATCCACACCATTCTTCAACAACAAACCATAAATAATATAGATGATACAACAAACATACCAACTCATAGAATGTTTCAAAAACGTACATGTCCCATAATGGCGTTCACAATAAAAGAAGGATGAAGCTGAAGTTAGAGCTGCAAACAAACATCCCTACCTACAAGTCAAAACAAGCAGAAAGTTCAAACATTATGAAACAAGATATTGAAACATAAACAATAATACATAAATATATTTTGAAACATAAACTATAGTGAAGACTAACTTGTAAAGTAGTCATTTGCTAAAATTTGATGCAACAAATGTATCCTTTGAAGAAGACAAGTTAGCTTCATAAAACTTGGGGTTTTCATACGAGAGAGACGGGCGACAAATATGTTAGAATTTTATTTCAAGAAAGACGAGTAAAAGAGATGTTAGGGTTTTATTTTGAGAGAGACAACTGTAACCACTACAAAAAAAAACTGTATTTAGCTAGGGGTTAAACCCCACACTAAATCAAAAAACCCATCACAAAACACCAATTTGCGAGGGGACGAGACCCCTAGCTAATTAGGACATCGCAAATTATTGGTTAGGGGATAAGCCCCTCGCAAAATTGGCTAGGGGATAAGCCCCTCGCAAATCATTTGAGTCTGTTGTCTCTCTCAAAATAAAACCCTAACATCTCTTTCACTCGTCTTTCTTGAAATAAAATTCTAACATATTTGTCGCCCGTCTCTCTCGTATGAAAACCCCAAATTTTATGAAGCTAACTTGTCTTCTTCAAAGGATACATTTGTTGCATCAAATTTTAGCAAATGACTACTTTACAAGTTAGTCTTCACTATAGTTTATGTTTCAAAATATATTTATGTATTATTGTTTATGTTTCAATATCTTGTTTCATAATGTTTGAACTTTCTGCTTGTTTTGACTTGTAGGTAGGGATGTTTGTTTGCAGCTCTAACTTCAGCTTCATCCTTCTTTTATTGTGGACGCCATTATGGGACATGTACGTTTTTGAAATATTCTATGAGTTGGTATGTTTGTTGTATCATGTATATTATTTATGGTTTGTTGTTGATGAATGGTGTGGATGATTGTTGTTGTTAATGTTTGTTTAAAAGATGAGTTTATTATAGCTTATGTGGTTTGAGTGTTTTTCTAATCCCTTAGTGAATATATAACTTTTCATATTGCATTAGAAAATTATAATATGATAGATAAAGTTAGATTAGAAAATAAATACGCATTTAATTCTAGACAAGAATTCTTCACTTTGTTATCTATATCTTGTTCTTTAATTGTTATAACTTTACTTAATGATTGTAGTTCTTTAACCTCTTATCCTTGTTTGCGAGGGATATCCCCTAGCTAAATGTTTTTTTTTCCTTCCTATTTTGTGTTTTGCGGGGTTTAACCCCAAACAAAGTGATTTGTTTTAGTGAAGGGTTTTCCCCCTAGCCCATGCCCCTAACTAATTTCATATCTTCTTGTAGTGAACGTACTGAAGCAGGAGATAATTTTACTTATATATAAATAAGTAACACCTTTTACCACGGTTGACAATACAAACCGTTATGAAATGATTGGAATTTACACCACGGTTGATTATAAAAAACGTGGTGATATATAAGGTCAAACTCATTATGTCACGATAAATGAAAAATTATTCGTACTGTGATTTGAACAATTTCACTTTAGGTACATTTCAATACTGTTGGTACCTATGACAATTGCGAAATATTTTTTTAGTAAATACAAAAAGAAATCCAAAAAAAACTATTACCAAGATTAAGACGAAAACCGTTGTAAAATCAATATTATAAAAAATATATTTTGTAGTAGTGTGAAGATAAATTTTAACCATAATTTAACACCTCATATGTATGAAGAAAAATTTAGATGTGTCATTTATTAAAAAATGGAATAGGGGAGTGTAGTTTCCTTTTTTATTTAAATATATTTATTTGATCTTGTTATGTAGATTTCTGGGCTCTGGTTTCAATATATATCTTAGCCCCTCACTTTCCTATATTTGAAACCCTTCAAGCTAGTCACTAACTGTATCCTCTTTCTTGTCAGTACACTCTTTGTTTGAAGCATTCCTTTGAGAGAGCAAAAATGTTAGCTAACTGCGAGAAAATGGTTACCTTCCCTCCACCAACTACTAACCAATGGCCCCAGGTTCCTCTCTCCCTCTCTCTCTCCCTTTCTCTCTCTATCTCTCTTCACACAATTATTTAGACAAATGCACAGTCCAAATAATTTTGTTGCTTTCTCTTTGGAAGAGAATATCCACCTGTTATTCTTCTCATACATTAATCATTACAACCCTAGAACTAAAACCTACCCTAAATTTAACTATAGTTTTTCTTCTTTTTTCTTACATCCATTATTATTTCTTGTTTTGTTTTTGGTGTAGAATCAAATACATGATGGTAAGATAATGGAAAAACAAGGTCAAGAGCTTCTGCAACAGCATCATCAGCAGCAGCAACAAGCACTCAAGTGTCCTCGTTGTGATTCATCAAACACAAAATTCTGTTACTACAACAACTACAGTTTGTCACAACCAAGACACTTCTGCAAAGCCTGTAAACGTTATTGGACAAGAGGTGGCACTCTTAGGAATGTTCCCGTTGGTGGTGGCTACAGAAGAAACAACAAACGTAGTAGTAATGGTCCTTCTACTACTACTCTCATCAAAAGACCAATCTCCACCATTGAAATCGCTACTAATTCTACCTCTTCAACTCCTAGTTCAACCTCAAATCAAATGAACCCTATGGTTTATGGATTATCTAGTACTAATAACCCTTGTCATGATGTGAATCTTCCATTTTCAAGGTTCAATATTAACTCTAGGCTCTCAACAAGTTCGGGTTATGATCCTCAGCCTCAGATGAATTTCATAGGGTTAGGTTTTTCATCTGGATTTGATAATAATGGTTATACAAACGGGTTTAATACTTCAAATAATAACTATGATTCAATCTTTGGTTCTTCAACTTCTGCATCAAATAATACATCAGTCATGCCTTCTGTGTTGAGCTCTACTCTACTGCAACATAAATTCTTCGACGACGGTTTGAAATATGGTTCAGATGCAGGTAGCAACAGTGGTTTCCAAGATTTGGAATTTGGCTCAAAAATGCAAAACCAGATGGAACTTATGGGTGGTTTTTATGATCCTGCTTCTTCACTTTACTTGAATACAACATCATCATCAGGTATTGGTGTTTGGAATGATCAAGGTGCAAATACTATTGGTTCATCAGTCACTTCTCTGATCTAAATGAATAACTGACTCAAGTTCAAGTTCGAGTTCAAGGCCAAGGTTATCTTTAGTTTGGTCCTTTTGTTTAGTTTTACTGATTAGGTTTCTGTCTTTTTTGTTTTGTTTTATATTTTTGGGTTGTGTTTAGTTACATTTAACTTTATTGAAAAAAGAAAAAGAAGGAAAAAAAAGATACTTGTTAGAAAAATGGGAAAGTTAAAGGTGTGAGAGAAGAGTGTACTTTGGAACATTGATCAGAGAGATCCTATGTCAGTTACATCCTTCAAATTACTTTAGCTAGCTAGTTAGTTTTATGATGGACCTGTCAAAGGTTGGAGAATATATAACACTAAGGATTCTTCTCTAGTATCTGTATTAGTGTCGGATACTATCACCGACACTTATCATTATGTTAAATATATTTATATTTTTTAGATTATTACAGATGTCTCATGTTCGGGATGTCCGTGTTTTATAAGTTTTATTTTGGTCTTTTGGTTTGTATTATGTGTAAATATTGGATGACATGAACTAGTCCTTGATGAAAGGAACTAACTTTGTGAGGATATATGTGATTTTGGATAAGGGGGGAATGGAAATACATTTGGTATAATGGTATAGAAGAGAAGGAAAAATGTATGCGGGTGGTTTAGTTCTAAACTATGGTGTTTTTGTTGTTCATGTATTGGTGATTTAATTTGAGAAACTTGTTTGGTCCATGTGCAAATTGTTGTTTTCTGCTTGAATTTATGTCTATATTCTAGAAGCTATGTTGAAAACAAACAATGAGCATGTTGTAATGGTGTGTAACTGTAAGATGGCCTAGGGAATCTGGTTGATATCACTTGCATAAATAGAAACTTGAGCTGGATTTGGACTCATGCTGTCCTAGAGTTGCTGTTCAACATCTTATGTGCCTCGAACAAAGTTCAATCAAAATGAACTACTACAACAAAAAGTTAAAAATATAACTTCTTTTCAGAAATTAATTGTACTTGTTATATCTAGATAGAATTAAGTCGTAAATTTTATCAGTAAACTCAATTGTTAAATTTGTAAGTTAAATTATGATTCGGTTAAAAGTGTTTAGTTGAGATTATGTTTTCTTCAAGGAGTTACTTAGAGAAAATAAATGGATATAAATGTGAAAAAACACTTGTTTGACTGATAGTGTGTTTTAAAATATTTACAAGCGCAATATTTACGGGAAACACTAATTTTATTAGGTAGAATAATGTGACTTACATAATTTTGTTTTTCTCGACTAATTATTGTTAAATCAAATATGGTTTAAAGAACAATAACATTTATTTGCAGGTGTTGTACCTCAAAATTTGACCAATCATTTTCTGTACTTGACTTATGTTTCATTTCATTTTACCATTTGCATTTGCATAGCATTGTTCTTAACAGGGGATCAAGAGGTTTGTTGTGTCATTCAAGAAGAGAGTCTTCTTGGTTTCAAGCTCAAGCAAGGACATTTGTTCAAGCCATCAAGTGTTTATCATCACCATGGAAGTTTCAAAGTTCCTTGAGGAGAGAGGTTTGTGCATATGTATCACCTCATATCCTGAGGGTCAGCTGAGGGTTATCAAGAGTTCATGAGGTCTTGTTCTTGATTACAACATGTTTTAAAAGCTCATTGAGTATCTTAGGGGTCATTGTGGAGTTTGTGTAGTCATTCAATTCATTTGCAAAAGTCACAATCAAAGGACATGGAGCTAGGGTTTCACCTGGTTAACCCAAAGTCAACTGTGAACTTGAGAAGGTTTATAACTTGGTTCTAAGTCATTGAAGCAATGGGAAGTCTTCTTAAAGCATCTAGGGTGTCATGTTAGGATCAAATCAAGAAGAATCAAAAGTTCAAGAAGTTACTAATTTAGGATTTCAGATGATTTCAGTGTAAAATCCTCTTCTTTAGTGCCTAACTTTAAGGACAAATTCCCCTATGATGAAAGTGCAAGCTCATTTTCATGAAAACATGTGACTTGTTCATCATCTTCCAAGCTTTCCTTTGAGTACAAGAACTCATCCATTGAGTTTTTACATCTCAAGTTATGATGTCAACAAGTTGGGGTCCTCAGATGAAGAGAATTTTGGTCAACTAAAAGTCAATCCTTGAATTATTTATTCAATCAAGGACAATAGACATGATAAGGAGTACTTTTCAAAAATAATGGCATAAATAGCACAAAATTTGAGCAAGTTATGATCATTGCAAGTTGGTGCACCAAGAGGGCAAAAACCAGGGCAAGGCAAGGTTACAACCTAAGGGTCATTTGCGTGAAGGATTGGAACTCAGTAAATTCTTATTCAAATGAAGTGAAATAAAGTGAAAATTGTGTATTTTTAAAAAAGTAATTCAATGGGGCCATTTTTTTCCCATACCATACACCCACAGAAAAATTCGATAGCAACATTGGTTTAGGCAAGTTTGGTGACAACCAAAAGCGTGAACATGTGAACAGTCATGTGTGGTGGTGTGCTTGGTGAAACAAGTGTACAAACATCACATATACATCATATTAAGAGGTTAGCATAAATAAAATCAAGAGATGCACACATGATTTGAAAGATTGGATGCAAAATGCAAAAAGTGACTAGGTTGGGCCTAGTTTGTTACCTAGCTTGCGACTAGAATTTGACAGTTCAAAAAATACATGTTTTGATTCAAGTAATGGTTCATAAACGACACATAACATACATAAAAGATGCTCAAACAATTTTAAAAACCAAATCATAGCTAAAAGTCATGGTAGCATGTGAAACGCAAGTGAACATTTCATGTTTTCTTGTGTTTTAGGCTTACCTCTTGAAGCAAGCTTGCACAATAAGAAAATCAGAGACTTTGAATGCTCCTCCAAGGCATAAAAATTCTCCTAGGATGATGAGAAGATGCTCCAGATCAAGCTCAAGCAAGTTGATGGGAAGAATGACTTGTAAGTGAAGAAAAACCTCCAAAATCCAATGATTTTTCAAGACAACTCCTTTAATCCTTGTTACAGAAGTTTAGATTGGTTATGGACAGCTTATATATGTCAAATATTAAGTGTTAGAGGTCTTAAAGCTCAAGGAAAGGCAATGGACCAGTGATTGTCCTTTAAAACGCAAAAAAGTCAACAAAATGAACTCTTGAGGGTTGACTTTTGGATTGGATGTGTTTATGGCCAAGGTGAGGGTTTGGACAGCTCTAACACATCATTTTTTATGTGTTTGAGGCTTGGTTTGAGTTTGAAAGTGTTTGGAAAACGTTTTAGGGGTGAAAGTGCAAAATAGTTTTTTTTGTGGTTTTGGAAATTTAGTGAGATTTTGCAAGGATATTGGAACCAGAAAGAAGAGAGAGTTTTTGCTTGGTTTGATGCTTGCTCTGGTGTTTTTTTTTATGTGTAGAGAGTGTTCAATTTATAGGGAGAGTGGAGAGAAAGTATTTGGTTGAGTTAGAAGTCTCTTGCTAACTAGTTCACTTAAGAACCAACTTGTTAGTAATCATGATTTTCCTTGATTCATGTGATCAAGTACAAAGCTTGATGGCTTCAAGACAAAATTTTGAGTTTGAGAGGGACTTTGAAGTGTAAAAGGAGATAAGAGAGTGACTCAAGGAATATTTTAGGGGAAAGTATTGCTTTATCAAAATTTCATGGATCACTTTATGTCATAAATGGATGTTTTCCTTGGTTCTGTAAGAGCAAGAATTGTCTCTACATGTTATCTCTATGTTTTTATGATAACAATTAAGTATTTGTGAAATAACCATTTTATGTTTTAATGTTTGTTGTGTGCAGATCGTTAAATAAAGATATCAAATCAACAAACAATATCAAGAAGTGCATTAAATACAATGTGGAGTTACTTTGTGTGACATAACATAAAGCGCTTATTAAAGAAGCAAGTTTGCCTCTGTATCTGTTCACAATCAGAAAGATCCAAGGATGTTGGATATTGTTGTTGCAATGCTCTTGTGGATTATGTTCTATGAAGTGCATCTGATCTGAAAGCAAACAAAGCTTATTGAAGAAGCTAGTATAGCTCTGTATCTGATCACAATAAGAAAGATCCAAAGATGTTGTATATTGCAGTTGCAATGCTCTTGTGGATTCTGCTCTGAGAAGTGTATCTGATCTGGAAGCTAATAACGCATCTTAGATATAGTCCTCTGAAGAACCAAGCTCTGAAGACTCTGATGACTTGAAGCTCTGAAGGCTGAATGCTCTGAAGACCAAGTGCAGAAAGACTCTGAAGACTTAAGGGTTCTAAAGATCAAGACTCTGAAGATCTACGTGCTGAAGACTCTGATGACTTGAAGCTCTGAAGGCTGAAGGCTCTGAAGACCAAGTGCAGAAAGACTCTGAAGACTAGATTCTGAAGATAAAGATTATGTAGCATCACCCAGATAAAGACGCATTAATCAGATAAGTTGTTGCTATCAACTCTGATAAACAAGGTGCTGAAGTCAGACTCTGATGTTATTACACTATCATACCAAAGTAGTTTCTGAACTCTTGGAATTGAGTAGAAGTATGAACTTAAGATTGAATTTGATAATAAGCTTGGAATCTGAAACCAAAGATGGGTTAGCAGAAGAAGTCACCATCAGATGATCTGATGCTGGTTGGTAAAGAGCAAGATTATCATTCAAATAGATGCTAGAAATACATCTTGGTTTGATGATAGTTTGTGATGATCAAGTACGTCTATTCAAAGGATAAATTCTTATGATGCAAGAAGTTAGCAAGTTTCCTCAAATCATAATTTTTTTTAGCTTATGCTTATTCTGAGAAACTTACGTTCATTAGAAAACAAGTTGTCTGGAAGAAGATAGATGGATGATCAGAAGATGAAGACCAAAGGAAGAATTTGGAATTCATAACTATTGTTCAAGATGATACAAACATCAGAGGAGATATGTTTCTATTCAAAAGAAAGGAAGCTGAAGAAGTCATTATGATTCAAAAGAAGAATGTAGCAGAAAGAGGATTAATCTGTCAGAGAGTAGCCAGCTAAGACTCTCATACATTCAA